CATCTCCGGTAACAATTTGCTCTAAAAACGGCAAACGGTTTTGACGAGAGAGGAGCGAACTGCAAATTGTGACTCTTTGATTACGGTTGTTGTCTGTCAACGCATGAGGAACCCATTTTCCAAACTTTTGGACTTTGCCAAGTGCACGCAATTGATTGGAAATTGTTTTTTGTGAACAATTTAAAGTTGTCGCAAGCTCTTGTTGGGTAATTTGAGGATTTTGCACCAAAAAAGCTTGAAGAGCTTCTTGATCAAAATTGGACACACGGCTTCGACCACTCTTGTCATCTAACGAAAAATTTCCCTCGTGAAATTTCTCAAACCAACGCTGGCATTTTCTGGCGCTAACTGCATCTTGACTAAGAGCACTACAGATGTTTCTTGCAGCCTCACTTGCTTTTCTTCCTAATTGGAACTCGTAAAGCATGCAGTGCCGAATATGCTCTTCATCCGCCATCTTCTTAGCCCTAGTTTTGCAACAAAAACCAAACCAAACACAAACTTTTTCAAACAAAACTTGTTAATTGCACTTCATACGTTCTGTAGATACGACGTGTTTGAAGGTTATGTCAATACAAGTCAACGCCAAGCAAGATTTTAAACAAATGTTTAAAACGACATTAATTATTACTAGATCCAAGTAATAATTGGGTCTAGTAATAATTGGGTCTAGTGAACAAGCCAGAAGAGTTTCCTACCCACATCAACCTTACATTTTAAAAATGTAAGGTTGACGTGGGTAGGAAACTTACTAATTTTTTACAGAGAGGAAGGAGAGAAATAACGAGCTAGAAACATTGATGAGAGAGAGAAGCATTGACCAGCTGCCTCCTGCACCTATCGGGGATGTGCCCGCAACCAATGTACATGCCCTTGACTGGAATTGAACCTAGGACCCTTCAGTCCACAGATCGACACTCTATCCACTGAGCCAAACCAGTTTTGGCAAACTTACATTTTAAAAATATGTTTTTTATTGATTTTTTACTGAGGAAGGAGAGGGGTAGAAAGTTAGAAACCTCAATCAGCTGCATACCTCCCTCCGGGTATGTGCCTGCAACCAAGGTACATGCCCCTGACCAGAATCAAACCTGGGACCTTTCAATCCATAGGCCGATGCTCTATTCACTAAGCCAAACTGGTTAGGGCTCAAGCTTACATTTTTAAAAAATATATTTTTTTAATTGACTTCAGAGAGGAAGGGAGAGGGAGAGAGAGATAGAAACGTCAGTGATGAGAGAGAATCATTGATCGATTGCCTCCTGCAGGCCCCGTACTGGGGGATCAAGCCTGAAACCAGGGCATGTTCCCTGATCGGGAATCAAACTGTAACCACCTGATTAAATGGGTCAATGCTCAACCACTGAGCTATGCTGGCCCAGCCGGACTTACATTTTAATTATAGTCTATTTGGGAAAGCAGCTGATAAATGTGGAACAAGAATTAAAAAAATTACCCAGATTGTGATCCAATATGGATAGTAGGTATTAAGGCTTGAGGTCCCCTGTCAATACCCAGTGCAGAACTTCCATATAGATCTGAGAACATAGGTCAGTAATTCATTATCCAAAAGTTTTTTGGTTTTTTTTTTTTTAATGCTTTTAAAAAGATAATATAATATAGACTAGAGGCCTGATGCATGAAATTCATGCACGGGGGGGGCGGTGGAGACACCTCAGCCCAGCCTGCACCCTCTCCCATCTGGGACCCCTTGAGGGATGTCGGATTGCCCATTTAGGCCCGATTCCACTGGACATCCTCTCACAATCCAGGGCTGCTGGATCCCAACTGCCTTCCTGATTGCCCCTAACCGCTTCTGCCTGCCAGCCTCATCACCTCCTAACCATTCACATGCCAGCCAGCCTGATATCTACTGCTCCCCTGCCAGCCTGATTGCCCCCAACTTCCCTCCTCTGTCAGCCAGGTCACCCCTAACTGCCCTCCACTGTCAGGGTTGACCACCCCCAACTGCCTTCCCTTGCAGGCCTGGACCCTCCCAAATGCCCTCCCCTGCTGGCCATCTTGTGGTGGCCATCTTGTGTCCACAGGGGGCCAGGATCTTTGACCACATGGGGTTAGCCATGCTGTGTGTTGGAGTGATGGTCAATCTGCATATTATTCTTAGACAGGATAGAGGCCTGATGCACGTGTGGGGTCAGCTGGTTTGCCCTAAAGGATGTCCCAAATCAGGGTGGGCATTCCCTTGGGGTGTGGGGTGGTCTGGGCGAGGGGCCTGTGGTGGTTTGCAGGCCAGCCACGCCCCCCCTGGCAACCCAAGTGGAAGCCCTGGTATCTGGAATTTATTTACCTTCTACAATTGAAACTTTGTAGCCTGGATCGAAGCCAAGCTTCCTGCTTGTTCCTTGGCAACAACCATTTCTGTTGGAATTTATTTACCTTTAATTGAAACTTTGTATCCTGGAGGGGAGACTTGGGCCCACCAGTGTGTGTAGAAAGCTTGGCTTCCTCCGTTGCCAGAGAAACCCAAGCCTCCCTCCTGTTCTCTGTGACCGCAGCCATCTTGGTTGGGTTTAATTTGTATGCTCGCTCTGATTGGCTGGTGAGTGTGATTTGTGGTGTAGCGGATGTATGGCCAATTTACATATTACTCTTCTATTAGATAAGATTAGTTATTTCATTTCTACTGTGGTGTTTAGAGTATCATTCCTTAATAAACACCTTAATATTTCACCATAAAATGTATGACTAATCACAGAAATTTTGGTAATTAATACAAAACTGGATGTAGATCAGGTCATAGCAGGTTTTGTTATTAGTGAATTATGCAAATACTTTAAATGTTAGACTTTCGAATTTCAGGATTGTGCACCCATCATGGAGAAGATAGGACATGCTACATTTAAAGGGAAAGAAAACACATGGCACAGAAACAGAAATGAACATGATTTGTTAGGGACAGTAAAGCAAACGGAATTGACTAAAACATAGAGATTGTGTGTTGGGAAGTAAGGATAAACAAATTTGAATAGTTAGAACCAAATATGTAAAGCCTTGAGTGCCATTAAAAACAACAAAGAGCCGAAACCGGTTTGGCTCAATGGATAGAGCGTCGGCTTGGGGACTGAAGGGTCCTGGGTTCGATTCCGGTCAAGGGCATGTCCTTGGTTGCGGGCATATCCCCAGTAGGAGGTGTGCAAGAGGCAGCTGATCGATGACTCTCTCTCATCGATGTTTCTAACTATCTCTCTCACTTTCTCTCTGCACAAAATCAATAAAAAAATATATTTAATAAATAAATAAATAAAGCTTTAAAAAAAACATCAAACAAACAACAAAGAATTGTCAGAATGAACTGATTGGAAGATTACTCTTTCAGCTGTTTGTGTGAATGAATAGAGTGGGAACAAAGTAAAAGTTTTAGTCATTGGCTAATATTTGTTGAGTAACTACTTAAAAAGCTGCTGCTCCTACTAGTATTGATAGTACTGTAATAAGAATAAATTGTTGATACCTTTTATGTGCCAGTCATTTGGGCTATACACTTTACCTAAATTCCTTACAGGAGTTACAAATTATATCATATGGTCTTTGGCCTTAAAAATCTTATTATCTTGTTGGGGGAAAAATGTCTTAAGGCACATAGTTTAAACTATGAAGTATTCCACTTCATAAATGGAACTTTCTAAGGGATAGGATATTCTTCTTTTTCCAGTTAGTAGTGCTGGATCTTGTTTCAGACATATGCTTGAAATGAAGACTAGCCTATCAAACCTTAAGAATAGTGAAGTGGATTGTTTCGGTTTTATATTTACTTGTCAGCCTCCTGATTATAATATGGTAATCTAGTTTCTTGAGGATCTGTACTTGTTTTTAAAATATATATTTTATTGATTTTTTTACAGAGAAAAAGGGAGAGGGATAGAGAGCTAAAAACATTGATGAGAGAGAAACATCTACCAACTGCCTCCTGCACACTCCCTACTGGGGATGTGCCTGCAACCAAGGTACATGCTCTTGACCAGAATTGAACCTGGGACCTTTCAGTCAGCAGGCCGATGCTCTATTCACTGAGCCAAACCGATTCCGGCAAGGATCTGTACTTTTGAGAAGGGGCTTGTCCTGTATAGATTATTCAAATTTTCAACTAGGGTGTACCACTCACCTCTTGTAAAATAAATTGGGGTGCTGGTTTAAAAATATTTTATGAATTTGGGGAATTAAGCATTCCAATTGACTACCATTTGCTATTAGAAAAACCTGTAAAAATAAATTTCTGGTTTTTAAAGTTTTTATAACAATTGTTATAAAGTATTTGTGTGATCAGTTGTTTAACTTTTGTCTTATTAAAGTATAAGCCTTGTAAGTTTAGGACTGGATCTGTTTTGTTGAATACTGTACATGATAGGGCATTGTACATGATAGATGCTCAGAAATATTTTTGAATGAATCCAGAGTTGAATTGTACAACAGAGATAATTTTAGCCTGAGTTCTAATGTAAAAAGCCTGATAACTCCTTATAAAAAAAAGTTGGAGCACTGGAACCAGCCAAAAATGATTCTTTTACCCTTATTGAAATTGATTTTATTCAATTAAAACGTAGAAATATAGTCCTTGAAACTAGGAGTGAAAAATACATGAAATTATTTTTAACTTGTTTGTTTTTATAGAAGGTTTTTGGTTGCTTTATAACTGTGGCTCTTAAACATTGATTTGCACTATGCCACTCAGCTTGTTTATGATATCTGTAGAATTATAAACTTATTCTGAAATTTTAAATCTAATCATAACTAAATGAATTTAAATTCATTTTGAACTACATTTTTATTTGTTTCAATTGTGATTCTGTGTTCTTCTAACTTGTTCCCCTCATTCCCCCAATATTCATTTCTCACGTTACTTCTACTCTGATAAATTTTTGTTATGGTCTGTCCTGCAGAAAAAGAGATGCTGGTTGCAAGTTTTGGAGATTCCTGTTTTTTATGGAACACAATTCTGTAAACTGTTCATAGGATTCCTTGGCAATAACATACACTTGGTGATGGACCTTAGAAATACTGCTATGTTAGGATTGGGTTCTGATTCCGAAGGATTTTCAAGAAAGAGTCCCTCTGCCATCAATACTGGAACACTGGTCAGCAATAGAGAAGCAGAGCTAGAAAACAACGCAAAGGAGGAAGAGGGACTTCGCAAATGGAATCGAGAAAGAAACATTGAATCAGGGAAAGATGATGATTTGACTAATGCACAGCAACAGTTTTCAGTAAAAGAAACAAACTTTTCAGAGGGAAACTTAAAATTGAAAATTGGCCTTCAGGCTAAGAGAACTAAAAAACCTCCAAAGAACTTGGAGAACTATGTATGTCGACCTGCCATAAAAACAACTATCAAGCACCCAAGGAAAGCACTTAAAAGTGGGAAGATGACAGATGAAAAGAATGAACACTGTCCTTCAAAACGAGTAAGTAGAATTCTCAACAAAATGTGGTGACAATATTTGGATTTCTCCATTAATATTTATCTAAGCTGTATACACTTTCTATGAACTTTGATTTTAATCTTTGTAAATTATTTCAAAATAGTCTGTTTTATAAGACTAAAATGAAATAGGCTTTGTCATTTGTCAGAAAATGTGAGTGAGGGCATTACCATGTATGTATTTGTATTTGTAAAATCATGGCAAATATTTTAAATGGAGTATATCCAGATTCTTGCTTCTAGTGGCATAGTGGAAAGAATACTGGACATGTTTAGGAAGCCTAGATTTTAATCTTAGGTTCCTGTTTACCAACAGTGTCACTGTAGACAAATCAATGGAGAAGAAACTGCCTCAAAGATCTTAAGTGATTATAATACTACCGGTACCTATCTTTTAGTATGATTGTAAGAATCCAGTTCACTAATACTGTATTTGTTGAGAGCTTTAGTTAAATGAATTACACAAATACTAGAGGTCTGATGCGTGAAAATTTCATGCACTGGAGGCGGGTCCCTCAGCCCGGGCTACCCCCTCTCACAGTCCTGGAGCTCTCAGGGGTGAGAGGCGACCTGGGTGTTCAGGGGAAGGTAACACCCCATCATCACACCTCTGCTGCCACCATTGCCGGCACTGCAAGCCTTGGCCAGCCCTGGTTACCTGAGCCTCTGGTGGCCCTGGGCGGTTGTGGGGCTGAGGGGATTTGGGGACTCCAGAGGCAGGCATGCAAAGCTGATGCGGACACCTGCTGCCCTGACAGGGCTGAGGGGATGGGTGCCACCATCTTGTGGCTGTGGGTGCCACCATATTTGAGGACGGGTCAGTCAATTAGCATATTCCCTTTTTATTAGATAGGATTAACTCTTGTTCCTCATAAGACAAGTTAGTATATTAAAAATTGTCTCTTTGTGCTCTAGCTGGTTTGGCTCAATGGATAGAGTGTCTGCCTGTGGACTGAAGGTTCCCAGGTTAGATTTTGGCCAAGGGCACATGCCTGGATTGCAAGCTTGATCCCCAGTGGGGGGTGTACAGGAGGTAGCCGATCAATTATTCTATCTCATCATTGATGTTTCTCTCTTCCTACCTCTCCCTTCTCTAAAATCAATAAAATATTTAAAATAAAAATTGTCTCGTTGCACTGGCAATGCATATTGATGATTAATTTTAATTCTGAGATATAGCTACATAGAAATGAATGAAGACTTTTGCAGAGACATCAGAATTAAAGGCCCTATGTGATGAGATATCAAAACCTTGAGCTTTTATGAAACCTCATTAATAGGGAGACATGGTTAGATAAATGATGAAAGAGAAGTTGTTTCCTGTATAACATCACTGAGTGAGTCAAATTCACTGGGTACATAGTTCTACATTTAAAAAAAATTATTGTTGAGAATATCACAGATGTTTCCCCCCTTCCCATTACCCCCATTCATCCAGTTCCCACCCCACCCCAGCCTTCACCATTCTATTTTCTGTGTCCATAGGTATTGTATATCTATACTAATAAAAGAGTAAGATGCAAATTGACCGTACATTTGCAACACCCACCAGCCAATCAGAAGTAAATATGCAAATTAACCAACAAAGATGGTGTGTTAATTTGCATATGCAGGTGCCTAGCAGCCGGAGCGACACAGGCATTCCACACTGTGCCAGCCACTCCGGGCCTCTGGGCAGTGTGGGATGGCGGCGCTGGCTCTGACCAGTACAAAGGCAGTGTGCTGGCAGCCAGGGGAAGGAAGGCCCATTCTTGCACGAATCTTCAAGCATTGGCCTAGTTCTTTGGTTAATCTCTTTCCCCTTCTCTCTGAGATTAGTCCATTCCATGATTCCATGTCTGGTTCTATTTTATTCATCAGTTTATTTTGTTCATTAGATTCCTTGTTTGTTTATTTTGGTCTTTAGATTGAATTATTGATAGGTATGCATTTATTACTATTTTATTTTTAATATTTTTCTCCTCTTCTTGAAGAATGGCCTTCAATGTTTTATGTAATACTGCTTTGGTGGTAAATGTTTCCTTTAGCATTGTCTTGTCTGTGAAGCTTTTTTATCTGATATTCAATTCTAAATGATAGCTTTGTTAGATAGAGTAAATCTTGGTTGTAAGTCCTTGCTTTTTATCACTTTTTAAAAATATATATTTTATTGATTTTATACAGAGAGGGAGAGCGATAGAGAGTTAGAAACATCGATGAGAGATAGTCATCGATCAGCTGCCTCTTGCACACCCCCTACTGGGGATATGCCCGCAACCAAGGTACATGCCCTTGACCGGAATCGAACCCGGGACCCTTCAGTCCCCAAGCCGACGCTCTATCCATTGAGCCAAACCGGTACCGGCTGCTTTTTAGCACTTTGACTTTTTCTTGCCACTCCCTTCAAAGTTTCTGTTGAAAAATCAGGTAACTCTTATGGGTGCTCCCTTGTAGGTAACTAATTGCTTTTCTCTCACTGCTTTTAAGATTCTCTCTTTGTCTTTAACCTTTGGCATTTTAATTATGTGTTTTGGTGTGGGCCTCTTATGGTTCCTCTTGTTTGGAACTCTCTGGGCTTCCTGGACTTATAAGTGTATTTCTTTCATTAGGTAGGGGAAGTTTTCTGTCATTTCTTCAAGTAGGTTTTCTTTTCTTTTTCTTTATTCTTTTTGTTTGTTAATCCTGAGGATATTTTTCCTTTTTTTTTTTTTTAAATAATTTTTTACTGTTCAGAGTATTACCTATGCCCCTCATTTTTTTCCCATTGACCCCCTCCAGCCTGCCTCCATCCCCCAGCCCAGGTCTTTACCACAAGTTGGTTTTCAATATCTTGTTCGCTCTCTTCTTCTGGCATCCCCATAATGCAAAAGTTGATACACTTGAAGTTGTTCCAGAGGCTCCTACACTATCTTCATATTTTTGGATTCTTTTTTTTCTTTTTGCTCTTCTGACTGGATGTTTTTTGCTTCCTCATATTACAAATCATTGATTTTGATTCTCAGAATCCTCTATTCTACAGTTGAATCCCTGTAAATTATTCTTTATTTTGGTTAGTGTATGCTTAATTTCTTACTGGTCTTTTTTCGTGTCTTTGACATTCTAAGATCCTTGAAAGTCTCATGATGATCCTTGAGTAACCTTATGACTGTGGTTTTGAACTCTGTATCAAGTTGTTTGCTTAATTACATTTCATTCATTTGTGACATGTTTCTTTGTTTCTGCATTTTGACTGCTTCCCTGTGTTTGCTTCTGCGTACTAGGTAGATGTGCTATGTCTCCTAGAGTTGTTAGAGTGGCTTTGTATAGTACCGTTTCCCTGAAAATAAGACAGTGTCTTGTATTGATTTTTGCTCCCAAAGATGCGCTAGATCTTATTTTCAGGGGATCTCTTATTTTTCTATGAAGAAGAATATGGTACACATTTATTGTTAAATGAAAATAAAGAAAATTTATTACCTGTATACAATACGGTAGTACAGTAGTTGTCAACACAAACCAGACAAACTGTGAATCCTACAGTATCAAGAATTTACTCATTTATTCAAATGACAATCATGGCATCGTCTTCTGGAACATCATCATAACAATCCAATTCCTGAATTTCCTGGTGAATTTCTTGTGACTCCATTTCTTTCAGAATCAGTGGACCAAATCTCTCCTGTTTAGCCTAGGAGGGCCTTATTTTTGGGGGGATGCCTTATATTTCACTCAGAAGGAAACCTGTAAGTAGGTTTTGTTTTCAGAAGACGTCTTATTTTCGGAGAAACATGGTAGGTGCCCTGTAAAGCACAGGGGCTCAGCCTCCCTAGTCATCTGAGCTGGGCACTCTAGGTGTGCCCCTATGTGGGCTGTGTGCACGGTCTGGTTGTAGTTGAGCCTTTATTGCTATTGGTGTCACCCGGAGGAATTGGCTTCCAGGCCAATTGGCTGTGAGGATCAGCTGCAACTACAGTGGAAGAGCTGCTATGTAGGAGACAGAACGTGCTTCAGTGGGACTTTTGTGCTCACTCAGTATGTTTTTTTTTTTTTTTTTTTTTTTAATATATTTTATTGATTTTTCACGGAGAGGAAGAGAGAGGGATAGAGAGAAACATCGATGAGAGAGAATCATCGATCAGCTGCCTCTTGCACACCCCCTACTGGGGATGTGCCTGCAACCAAGGTACATGCCCTTGACCGGAATCGAACCTGGGACCTTTCAGTCCGCAGGCCGACGCTCTATCCACTGTGCCAAACCAGTCCCGGCTGCTTTTTTATTTTTATTTATTTATTTTTAAATTTTTATTGATTTCAGAGAGGAAAAGAGAGGGAGAGAGAGATGGAAACTTCAATAAGAGAGAATCATTGATAGGCTGCCTCCTGCATGCCCCATGCTTGGGATCAATTGGGCATATGCTCTTGACCAGAATCGAACTTGGGACCCTCAGTCCACAGACTGATGCTCTCTCCACTGAGCCAAATCAGCCAGGGCTTTCCCCCCATCCCCCAATGAATATATATTTTATTGATTTCAGAGAGGAAGGGAGAGAGAGAGAAACATCAGTGATCATAGAGAATCATAGATTGACTGCCTCCTGCATGCTCTCTACTGGGGATCGAGCCTGGAACACACACATGTGCCCTTGACTGAAATTGAACCTGGGACCTTTCAGTTCGCTGACCAACGCTCTATCCACTGAGCCAAACTGGCTAGGGCCAACCATAGTCTTTTCCTCTTCTGTTTTTATGCTCTGATTTTCTTCATAATATATCTTACCTTTTATTGCCTCTACCCCTCTCATGCATTAGAATGAAACCTCCATGGTGAAAGGATTTTTTTTTTTTACTGCTGTTATTCTTTGCATTTAAATTGTAGGTACTTGATACCTATTTGCTGAAAAAATGAATTCCTTATGGAGCACGAATTTAATATTATAAAGTAAATAAAATCAGGCCCTGGCCAAGTGGCTCAGTTGAATGGAGTATCATACCATACACCCAGTCAGGGCACATACCTAGGTGGCTCGTTCAATCCCTGATTTGGGCAAGTACAGGAAGCAACTGATGGATATTTCTCTCTTACATTGATGTTTCTCCCTCTCTATTCTTGCCTCTCTCTCTAAAAACCAATATAACATATCCCCAGATAAGAATTAAAAAGTAATTAACATAAAATAAAATTTATAGTATTCTTGAATACCATCAGTTTATTGAGCTAGAAAATATTTTTAAAAATTAATTCACAAAATGAACTCCACTTACACTAATAACAGTGGCACAGCTCTGTGAAGATATTAAAAACTATTGAATCTGTGCTATAAAAGGATGATTTTATGGTATGTGAATTGTATCTCAATAATGTTATAAATAAAATAACCAAGGAATTTTTATGTAATACAGAAAGGAAAAATTAGTCTTTCCAAGTATGAAACATAAGGTTAAGGTATCACCTGTTCATTTTTTTCCATGTATCTGTATTTGCATCTGATAAGACTGTCATTTCTCCATTGTATATCCTTGCCTCCTTTGATGTAATTAATTGACCATAAACGTGTGCATTTGTTTCTGGGCTCTTTTCTGTTTCATTGATCTATGTGTCTGTTTTTGTGCAAGTACCATACTTTTTATTATTATTATTATTATTATTATTATTGTAGCTTTGTAATATTAGTGTGAAATAAGGGAGCATGATATCTTCAACTTTGTTCTTTTTCTCAAGAGTGTTTTTGGCTGCTCACTGTCTGTTAGGATTCCTTATAAACTTCAGGATTATTCTAGTTTCGTTAGATTTTTTTTTAAAAGGACTAAGTGCCTATCTTATATCTGACATGTGATCAATAAGTTTGTTGGACTAAATACTGAATTGAAGTGGTATAAAGTTTATCCTCTCTAAAACCTTTTTCTTGTTCATATTTTAGGACCTTTCAAAGTTGTACAAGAAATCAGGTGATGTTTCAGCCATTCAATGCCATTCTGAAGAAAGTATCCATCTTCATTCACAGGGAGAAAACAATTCTTTGTCCAAGAAGCTTTCTCCAATACACTCAGAAATGACAGATTACATTAATGCAACATCATCTACTGTTGTTGGTAGCCGAGATCCTGATTTAAAGAACAAAACATTACTTAATGGAGGAACGAGCGTAACAGAAAAGTTGGCACACCTTATTGCAACTTGTCCCCCCTCCAAGTCTTCCAAGACAAAACCGAAGAAGTTAGGAACTGCTACTACTATTTCAGGATTGGTTAGCAAGGATTTGATCAGGAAAGCAGGTGTTGGTTCTGTAGCTGGAATAATACATAAGGACTTAATAAAAAAACCAGCAATCAGCACAGCAGTTGGATTGGTAACTAAAGATCCTGGGAAAAAGCAAGTGTTTAATGCAACAGTAGGATTGATCAATAAGGACTCTGTGAAAAAACTAGGAACTGGCACTACAGCGGTATTCATTAATAAAGACTTAGGCAAAAAGCCAGGGACTATCACTACAGTAGGACTGCTGAGCAAGGATTCAGGAAAGAAGCTAGGAATTGGTATTGTTCCAGGTTTAGTGAATAAGGAATCTGGGAAGAAGTTAGGATTTGGCACTGTAGTTGGACTGGTTAATAAAGACCTGGGTAAGAAATTGGGTTCTACTGTTAGCCTAGTGGCCAAGGACTGTGCAAAGAAGATCGTAGCAAATTCAACAATGGGATTAGTTAATAAGGACATTGGAAAGAAACTAGTGAGTTGTCCTGTAGTAGGACTGGTCAGTAAAGATGCCCTAAACCTTAAAGCTGAAGCACTGCTCTCCACTCAGGAGTCATTTAAGGCTTCTTGCACAAACATCAAGAGTCATGAAAGTCAGGAACTTTCTGAATCCCTGAAAGACAGTGCCAACAGCAAAACTTTTGAGAAGAATGTTATTCGACAGAGTAAAGAAAGCATATTGGAAAAGTTCTCAGTTCGAAAAGAAATCATTAATTTGGAGAAAGAAATGTTTAATGAAGGAACCTGCATTCAGCAAGATAGTTTCTCATCCAGTGAAAGGGGGTCATATGAAACCTCAAAGCATGAAAAGCAACCTCCCGTATATTGCACTTCTCCGGACTTTCAAATGGGAGGCGCTTCTGATGCATCTACAGCTAAATCCCCTTTTAGTGCAGTAGGAGAAAGCACTCTCCCCTCCCCATCACCTACTGTATCTGTTAATCCTTTAACCAGAAGTCCCCCTGAAACTTCACTACACTTGGCTCCTAATTCTTTACTTTTAAGTCCTACCACAGAACTAATGGAAGAAATTTCTGAATCTGGTGGAAAGAACCAATTTACTTCTGAAAGTGCCCACTTGAACATTGGTCACAGGTCTGTGGGTCATAGCATGAATATTGAATGTAAAGGGATTGATAAAGAGCTAAATGATTCAAAAACTACACATCTAGATATTCCAAGAATAAGCTCTTCTCTAGGAAAAAAGCCAAGTTTAACTTCTGAATCCAGTATTCATACAATTACTCCTTCAGTTGTTAACTTCACTAGTTTATTTAATAACAACCCTTTTCTAAAACTTGGTGCAGTAACTGCCTCTGACAAACACTGCCAAGTTGCTGAGAGCCTAAGCACTAGTTTGCAGTCCAAACCATTAAAAAAAAGGAAAGGAAGAAAAGCTCGGTGGACTAAAGTGGTGGCAAGAAGCACATGCCGGTCTCCAAAAGGGCTAGAATTAGAAAGATCAGAGCTTTTTAAAAATGTTTCATGTAGCTCACTATCGAATAGTAATTCTGAGCCAGCCAAGTTTATGAAAAACATTGGGCCATCTTCATTTGTAGATCATGATTTCCTTAAACGCCGATTGCCAAAGTTGAGCAAATCTACAACTTCATCTCTTGCTCTCTTAACTGACAGTGAAAAGCCATCTCATAAGTCTTTTGCTACTCACAAACTATCTTCCAGTATGTGTGTCTCTAGTGACCTTTTGTCTGATATTTATAAGCCCAAAAGAGGAAGACCTAAATCTAAAGAGATGCCTCAACTGGACGGTCCACCTAAGAGGACTTTAAAAATCCCTGCCTCTAAAGTTTTTTCTTTGCATTCTAAGGAAGAACAAGAACCTCCAATTTTGCAACCAGAAATTGAAATTCCTTCCTTCAAACAAAGTCTGTCTGTATCTCCTTTCCCGAAAAGGAGAGGCAGACCTAAGAGGCAAATGAGGTCACCAGTCAAGATGAAGCCACCTGTACTATCAGTGGCTCCATTTGTTGCCACCGAAAGTCCAAGCAAGCTAGAATCTGAAAGTGACAACCATAGAAGTAGTAGTGATTTCTTTGAGAGCGAGGATCAACTTCCAGATCCAGATGACCTAGATGACAGTCATAGGCCAACTGTCTGTAGTATGAATGACCTTGAGATGGAACCAGGTAAAAAAATCAAGAGAAACAATGGACAATTGATGAAAACAATTATCCGCAAAATAAATAAAATGAAGACTTTAAAGAGAAAGAAACTGTTGAATCAGATTCTTTCAAGCTCTGTAGAACCAAGTAATAAAGGGAAAGTGCAATCCAAACTCCATAATACAGTGTCAAGTCTTGCTGCTACATTTGGCTCTAAATTGGGCCAACAGATAAATGTCAGCAAGAAAGGAACCATTTACATAGGAAAGAGGAGGGGTCGAAAACCAAAAACTGTCTTAAATGGCATTCTTTCTGGTAGCCCTGCTAGCCTTGCTGTTCTTGAGCAAACAGCTCAGCAGGCAGGATCAGCATTAGGACAGATCCTTCCCCCTTTACTGCCTTCATCTGCTAGTAGTTCTGAGATTCTTCCATCACCTATTTGTTCTCAGTCTTCTGGGACTAGTGGAGGTCAGAGCCCTGTAAGTAGTGATGCAGGCTTTGTTGAACCCAGTTCAGTGCCATATTTGCATTTACACTCCAGACAGGGCAGTATGATTCAGACTCTTGCAATGAAGAAGGCCTCAAAAGGGAGGAGGCGATTATCTCCTCCTACTTTGTTGCCCAATTCTCCTTCACATTTGAGTGAACTCACATCTCTGAAAGAAGCTACTCCTTCTCCCATTAGTGAGTCTCATAGTGATGAGACCATTCCCAGTGATAGTGGAATTGGAACAGATAATAACAGCACATCAGACAGGGCAGAGAAATTTTGTGGGCAAAAAAAGAGAAGGCATTCCTTTGAGCATGTTTCTCTGATCCCCCCTGAAACCTCTACAGTTCTAAGCAGTCTTAAAGAAAAACATAAACATAAATGTAAGCGCAGGAATCATGATTACCTCAGCTATGACAAGTTGAAAAGGCAGAAACGAAAACGGAAAAAGAAATATCCCCAACTCCGAAACAGACAGGATCCAGACTTTATTGCAGAGCTGGAGGAATTAATAAGTCGTCTTAGTGAAATTCGAATCACCCATCGAAGTCATCATTTTATCCCCCGAGACCTCCTGCCAACTATTTTTCGAATCAACTTTAATAGTTTCTATACACACCCTTCTTTCCCCTTAGATCCTTTGCACTACATTCGAAAACCTGACTTAAAAAAGAAGAGAGGGAGACCTCCTAAGATGAGAGAGGCAATGGCTGAAATGCCTTTTATGCACAGCCTTAGCTTTCCTCTTTCTAGTACTGGATTCTATCCCTCTTATGGCATGCCTTACTCTCCCTCACCCCTCACGGCTGCTCCCATAGGGTTAGGCTACTATGGAAGGTATCCGCCCACTCTTTATCCACCTCCTCCATCTCCTCCTTTCACCACTCCACTTCCGCCTCCTTCCTATATGCATGCTGGCCACTTACTTCTCAATCCCACCAAATACCACAAGAAAAAGCATAAGCTGCTTCGACAGGAGGCCTTTCTTACAACCAGCAGGACTCCCCTCCTTTCCATGAGTACCTACCCTAGTGTCCCTCCTGAGATGGCCTATGGTTGGATGGTCGAGCACAAACACAGGCACCGCCATAAACATAGAGAACACCGTTCTTCTGAGCAACCCCAAGTTTCCATGGACACTGGCTCTTCCAGATCTGTCCTGGAGACTTTGAAACGCTATCGATTTGGAAAAGATACTGTTGGAGAACGATATAAACATAAGGAAAAGCACCGGTGTCATATATCCTGCCCTCATCTTTCTCCTTCAAAAGGTTTAATAAATAGAGAAGAACAGTGGATCCACCGAGAGCCTTCAGAATCTAGTCCATTGGCCTTGGGATTGCAGACACCTTTACAGATTGACTGTTCGGAAAGTTCTCCAACTTTATCCCTTGGAGGATTCACTCCCAACTCTGATCCAGCCAGCAGTGATGAACATACAAACCTTTTCACAAGTGCAATAGGCAGCTGCAGAGTTTCAAACCCTAACTCCAGTGGCCGGAAGAAATTAACTGATAACCTTGGACTGTTTTCTGCACAGGACACTTCACTAAATCGGCCTCACAGAAAGGAGCCACTGCCTTCCAGCGAAAGGACAGTACAGAATTTGACAGGTAAGAGGGTCATTTTGTTGCTTGTTAACTTGTGTTAATGAAATAGATTACTTGTTGATTTTTAGAGGGAGAAAAGGGGAGAGAGAGATGCAGATTGGCTGCCTCCTGCATGCCTTCCACCAGGAATTGAGCCTGCAACCCACGCATGCACCCTGATTGGGAATTGAACTGGCAACCTTTTGGTGCACAGTACAATGCCCCACCAACTGAGGAATATCAGCGAGGACCATTTACATGAACTTTTAATAGATCTACTGGTTTTATTTAAAAGTTTCTTTTTCTTTTTTTAAATTTATTTTTATTGATTTAGAGAGAAAGAGAGAAACATAAGTCAGTTGCCACCTGTATGCACCCCAACTAGGAATCGAACCCACAACTTGAGCATGTGGCCTGACTAGGAAATGAACTGGTAAACCTTCAGTACATGGGATGATGTTAAACCAATTTAGTTATACTCGCCAGGGTGAAATCCTCATTTTCAATAGATGTGAGAAGTAAGATAAGGCTGCTCTTTGCATGAATTTTTTTTTTAAATATATATTTTATTGATTTTTTTACAGAGAGGAAGAGAGAGGGATAGAGAGTTAGAAACATCGATGAGGGAGAATCATCGATCAGCTGCCTCTTGCACCCCCCCCACTGGAGATGTGCCTGCAACCAAGGTACATGCCCTTGCCCGGAATCGAACCCGGGACCTTTCAGTCCGCAGGCCGACGCTCTATCCACTGAGCCAAACCGGTCCTGGCTTTGCATGAATTTTTAATTTTGAGAAGAGATATTATGAAAACAAGAAGTAACAGTTATCTTTTGGAAACCAAGAATAATTACTTATCTTACGTATTACAGTTTCTTTAGTGAGAAATGGCTCATAGCTATCTGTTGGTCACTATTCAGGATTTTTTTGTATACACTAATCCAATAGTTACAAACACTTCTTATTCTAGGGAGAGCATTTTATTAATTCTGTATGTCTCATAATAAAAAATCTAAGCGTTCAAATTATCAACCTATAAAATTTAACTGAATATTCAGAGAGACTTCACTTGTAGAGTGCCTTTAAGTATCTATAAAAGCTGCTTCAATTGGATATAAAATAACATGAAACAAATTAAGTAATGCATTTGTAATGTCTAGAAAGTATCTTTTAAGAAATGGAAATATATAAATTAAGAAAGAGGAAGAATTACCCATTCAAAAGGGACAGTAATTTTCAACCTCTCTTGGCATACATAACAAGTGTTTTTGCCAACCTGACAAAAAAAATAGGCATAATTTTGATTCATTCACATTGAACAGCTATTGTTTTGGGTAAAAGAGGTCAGTGCCCTAACTAAATAATCAGGTATTGCATGTTTTAAAAATCCATGTGGCACATCAGTGTACCTCTTGAGCACACAAGTTGAAAATTATTGATATAGAAGATATCTCTTAAGTCAGGAGTTGTTGTTTTTATAAAAAATCTCAATTCTGAGGTTTTTGTAAATAACTTTGGGACATTCATAAAACCTCTGATGTAGTAAGTAAAATTGTTGTGTATGTTTCAGGAGAAAGTGCCCCATTCTGAGTTTCTCCCTGGGTCCATCTTAAGTTAACTCTTCGGCATAATGCACACTCCTATACTCAGAGAATTCCAAGGGTTTTTGAAACTACGCCAGGAATCTGAGACAAAGAACAGATATACAAGGTTGGATAGAAATTAGGTTTATACTTGGGAGTAACTGAAACAGAGTTTATTTTTGTATTACTAATTATTATATCATTTTCCATACAAATCTACAGTAGCCCACTCCGGTATTATCATATCACAAGTTTACATTTTTCTGTTAACTAGATTGTATGTTGGAATCTCTCCTCTTCACAATTACTGTTGATAAGTGTATACAAATGGAGCTTGTTTTCTAATAGGAATTTTATTTTAGGTACACATGAAAATTAGCTTACCTACCCACTAAAAACCAGTTGAGAAAAAATATTTTTAGTTAAGGAAAATAGAAGTTCTAAAGTCATGAAGTAACTTTTAATCAAATCACTTTGAAAGTAAGAATTTACTTTGTTTAGACAAAGCTTTTTGTATTTGATTTTTTTAAAAAATCTTAACTATTTTGATAGTAGCTGTCCCTTCAGCAGATATTCTGTCTGTTGTTTTCCAGGTCAAAGAATATACAAATGAATAAGATATAATTTCCACTCTCAAGAAATTTATAGTTTAGCAGAGAACAGACATGTACACAAATAATTATTAATAGCTGCTAAAATTCAGATATTCACAACATGTTTTGGGGAACACAGAAGAGAGAGACTTACTTAAAAGGAATTAGGAAAAAATTTTAATTCAGGATGCAAAGAGGATGAAGACTGTATCTTATAAATGAGCTTCTCTGGGTCTGATATTGTGTTTATATAACTGAAAATAGTATGATCTGGGACCCAGGAGATGAGGCTGGAAAGACAGGTAAAGCCTCTTGTTTATATAAGACACCAAGTAGTTTGGCATTTACCCTATAGTCAATGGGAATTTATAGTTTTAAAGTAGAAAAATGATTTGTCTGAGTTTATATTGATCATGGTATCATAGATTAATTAGAGAAAGATCAGGTGGACCAGTTTGGAAAATTTCCCACCCAAATAGTATAGGGGCTTTAACTTAGTGATAGTGGAGACATATTCAGAAATAAATGTACAAAAGTAAGGAAAGGGGGAAAGATTTTAGAATGTCTTCAAGATACCCTTCTTGGGCAGTTGGTTGGTGATGTGAAGTGAAAAAGAGGAAGTATGCAAAAGGAGATGATAAAAGGATGTGGGTCTATGCTATTTAGTGAGTTAAAGGATCTGTTGCTCAAAAGAGAAACCTGAAACTACAAGTTTTAGATGCGATTGTTGAAGCCATGAGGAATAATGATATTTAGGGAGGGATGGGTCACTGGTTTCCTAAGAGAGCTTGTAGTTCAGAGTGCCAGGTGCTACAGACATTTGTTAGATAAGGACTAAGAGTAGATAGTTTGCTTTTGCAGATTACCTTTTGTGATCTTAACAGCCATTTCCATAGTGTCAAATATTAGATTTCTGCCGGTTAAGGAATGAAAGGGAAATGAGGAAATGCAGACAATTAAAATTCTTACAGCTTTAAATTTTGTAGCAATTTTGTCTGGTTTATTATTTACTCTGGTAGTGTCAGGGAAATGATTGCATTTTCTCAATCTGTGATTATTGCCATGTCACATCGTTTTTCTTAAAAAACATAACTAAACATTGTGCTAATTTTAATTGACCTTGGTCTGCAGTTGATATTTTTTCCATACATGACTTGATGATATATTCATTATACATTACTTGGTATCCTCTTAAAATGTCCAAAAGGCTACTTACTATATCATGTATTCCAAAATTGTCAATTATCTTTGCGACATTGTTATTCTAGAACAGATCTCAAGAGCCAAAGCTGGAACAATTTAAGCAAGAAAATAAATAAGAGTATTGGATTATAACCTAAAGAATAATGTAAATAACCATGAGTTCATGCCAATATCAATAAATGATTAAATAAATAAATGGAGGAATTTGACAAATCTTTCTTATATTTAACTATTCCCTTCAAGGAGGTAGAACTTAATTTTCTTCCTTTTGATTATGGACTGAATTTAGTGAACTAGTTCCAAAGAATAGAGTATGGAACGGAAAAAAATAATAACTTTATAGTAAAGAAGCCTAGAACACAGCACCTTAGCCAGATACAAGGTTAACTTCAATAATAAATCATCATGGCAATATGTATCCTTTGATATAATATGATTGGAAATTCTTTCCAAAAACCCATACACCAGTCTAATAATAAAACATTAAAAAAAAAAAAAGATATTATACAAAACTAGTGCCCCGGTACACGAAATTCATACACTGGGTGTAGGGTAGAGGGGTGTCCCTCAGCCAAGCTTGTGCCCTCTTCAATCTGGGACCCCTCAGGGGATGTCCGACAGCCAGTTTAGGCCTGATCCCTGTGGAACATCGCTCTTGCAATCTGGGATCGCTGGCTCCTAACTGCTCGCCTGCTTGCCTGCCTGATTGCCTCTAACACTCTGCCTGCTGGCCTGCTTGTGCCCAAATGCCTCCCCCCTTTCCAGCCTGAAAACCCTCAACTGCCTCCCCTCCTGTTCTGATCATCCCTAACCACCTCTGCCTCAGCCCTGCCACCATGGCTTTGTTTGGAAGGTCCCCCAGTCTATTTGGCATATTATCCTTTTATTAGTATAGATACCTGACTAGTACCCCTTAAAAGTATCAAGGAAGGACCTGTTTAAAAAAAAAAAAAAAAAAAAAAAAGGAAATATTGAAGAATTGTCACAGATTACAGGAGATTAAGGAGACATTACAACTAAATACGGTGTGGTATTGTAAATTGGGCCCTGTAACAGGAATAAAGAAATAAGTCCAAAAGTTATCTCAATATTAATTTCATAGTTTTGACAAATGTGCTAAAATTATATAAGATGTTAAAATTAGGGGGAACTGGGTAAAGGAAGAGAATTCTTACCCTGTACTGTCTTTGCAAATTTTCTGTAAATTTAAAATTATTTTAAAACAAATTGCCAAAACCGGTTTGGCTCAGTGGATAGAGCATCGGCCTGCAGACAGAAAGGTCCCAGGTTCAATTCAGGTCAAGGGCATGTACCTGGGTTGCAGGCACATCTCCAGCAGGGGGTGTGCAAGAGACAGTTGATTGATGATTCTCTCTCATCGATGTTTCTAGCTCTCTATCCCTCTCTTCTTCTCTGTAAAAATATGAATAAAATATTTTTTTAAAATTTTAGCTTTTTTTTTAAAAAATATATTTTATTGATTTTGTACAGAGAGGAGAGAGATAGAGAGTTAGAAACATCGATGAGAGAAAGTCATCGATCAGCTGCCTCTTGCACACCCCCTACTGGGGATATGCCCGCAACCAAGGTACATGCCCTTGACCGGAATCGAACCCGGGACCCTTCAGTCCCAAGCCGACGCTCTAT